GCCTTACTGTTAAGCCTCTAAGTTGATATAATCCTTCCTGCTTCTTTTCCACCTCAAAACACTCTGGTTTTAAACCATAGAGGCATTGTCGGCTGTGCTTTGAGTCTAAAATGCCTAAATTACTGATACATCCCAGGAGTGTCTTGTCAGTCTGATCACAATAGTTTCACACTAACCCCAAAGATTCTTATCTACAGCCCATTTTCCTCTACAGTACTTTCAGCCTCCTCCTCGCCCTAACTAACCTCTTCTCTCAGGCCTTTCACCACTGAACAACCCCAGAGAGCCTCCCCTTTAGCATCACCAGCACCACCACCAAGTTCCACAACATCAGGGGAAATGGACTGGGCCTGCTCAGTCTACCGGTGGCTCCACTGACAGGGGATAAAGGGATAAAAAGACTCTGCTCAGGGACTGATTACTTACATCTGCCAAGCTAAATCCCAGTGCCTGCACCATAGACACTCACACATGTACAAACGTCTGATGGGCACACACTTGGCCTGCTGCTAGCAGCAACAAATGCACTCATGCATGTATTGTTTTTTCTGACATAAGCATGTGGTATGCAGAAAACTATGTATGTGTGTGTGTTTGTCTAAGCATGTGTGTGAACTCAGGCCATTTAATCATGCTCGAACTATATATTATTAAGAATTAAACATGTAATGAAATCCTGGATGACAAACTCTTAACAGCACAAGCTTTAGACAGTATAAACATGTCAGTGGGATCATTAATAACTAATAGCATTCCATAGCATTCTATCTGAGCCAAGAAAAGGGTCTCTCTTACCTTTAAGTTGCCTGTTTAATAATTCTTAATTTTTATAAGTTGCTGTAGGATTCTGTCAAATTAACATTTATTGTATCCAGCACATAGATGGATGGACAGACAGACAGATAGGAGTCAGATATTCTCACAAATGCAGGCTTTAGCATTTTTCCTATGTTTCCAACTGCATTGAATTCCAAAATACAATGACTCTAAATATAACAGAAATATTTTACTATTCCCTTTTTTAAGAAGAAAATTTTTGTTTTAACAATTTTCTACAGATTTTAGCAATGAAAATGTATTTATTCTCTTTACATATTTTTTTCCCTTAAAACAAAAACAAAAAATTAAGAGAGATGGCGTTTTTTTTACAATGCCAAATCTCCTGTGGTAAATAATCATTAAAAATAAATTTTTATTGTATTTTTCTTTTAAGGTCATGTAATGCTTGTGGCTCTAAATGTGGTTTATTAGCTGGACTGAAGTCAAAAATGGCTCTCCGGATTGTAAAGGTTGCAGATCCCCTGCTACAGACTATTACTTAAAGGAAAACACTGATGGTTTAAAGTGCTGATAATAACCGTATTTTATCTAAAGTTTTTTTTAGAGTTGTCTAAAAGCATGATAAGCAAGAGTTTAAGTGAAAAAAAATACATGAAAGAGTTCAAATATATTATTCTGCTGTGTTCACCCTCTCACTATAACATTGTCAAGTAAGAGTACAGTCTTATGAGTTATCAGTGATTGGCAGTATTGGAACACTGGCATTCCTAGCAAGCGGTCCGAGGATGGCCCACTGACCTCTTGCTTCCAGCTCATCTTACTCTCTAGGGGATTGGAGGAGAAAAATCATACCTCACATAACAGCATATTAATCCCTTGGTTTCTGAGCATTTTGCCTCTGAGGGCTTACCCCGGTCAACAGAGCTTTGTCTGACTGTTTTACACAAACGCACCTGTGCACATGCAAAAACACAGGCATGTTTGCTAGAGAAAGCAAAAACTATCTCTTCTAACTTATTGATGAAAACAGTTCTATAGATATTTGATATGTCACTTTATGCAATCTTAAGACAATACTTTGACTAGCTTAGTGCTATGGTGTCTCAAGATCCCTAACATAAGGACAGAAATGTAAAAAAGTTACAGATTAACTAAACTTCATAGGAAACCAACTTGAGAAGGAAAGTTAAGACAACTGGTTATCTGATTTTCATCTTGATCAACCAGGAATGGTGACCTACAGGTCAGAAACATACAAATCTGATCAAACCTACCACACTGCTAGGAGGCAACAAAAGCAACGAGTTTGTGCTTTCATTGAGTGAATAAGAAATTAGGCTATTTTCACTGACGCCAATGCATTTCATGTGAATCTAGGGGTACCATAGACATGGAAGAAGGTATCTAAAATAAAAAGTGTGTTTACTACACCATTATGAGACATGTATGTGGTTCATTGAGCATTTAAGCAAGCTTGGTGGATAATGTGGACTTAATGTAGTAAAGCACAACTTTGTTTTGTTTTTGTTTTTTTCACCACTGTCTGTCATTAAACATATAAGATATGGTTATTTTTCCATGGGAATACACAATAAGTCTCATGTCCTACTAAGGTAACTAATCTCTAATTAAAGACGCAAAAACTAATCGGAATGTCAATGCTATATCTATGTCTCATGTGCTTTAAATTACTAAAACCATATTTGATTATTTTACACTCAAGTATTTTTTCAGTATTGCGGTCAAAAACCACACCAAGCAAGACCAAGGAGTACCAAGACTAAGACAAGGCTAAGAGCTTTAGAGGCTGACACAAAGACCGAGACCAGAAGGTATTGGTCTCAGTACTACTTGGTCTTGGTTGGTGTGGTCAATATATATATATAAATATATATATATATATATATATATATATATATATATATATATATATATATATATATATATATAGATAGATAGATAGATATTTCTTTTTTTTTTTCTTAAATCTAACTATATAGGTTGCTTTAAAGGAGAAGTAAGTATTTGAAAAATATTGAATCAGCACAGCTTTCTGAAGGACAGAAACCAGCTGAAATTCTGATCTGTGTTCAAAGGGGAACCAAGCGTGAAATAAGGTATAACCCCACTCCCAGACAAATTTTTAAAAAAACTGCTACCAAACTGGGCTGTGCAGGGATTGCCAAGAGTGGGGATGAGCAGAGGGGGTTAAGCAGGGAAGTGATCCAGCATAGAAAAGTGTTGTAATAATTGTTATTGCTGTTAAAGGGGCCATTGTGGCTAAACACAAACCATGGAAAATAGCAGCATTTATAAGCAGGAAACTGGAACTCCATTAAGAGGGCTGTGATGTACTCACGTACAGAGAATAACTTTTTTTTGGTTTGAAGTCCTTATTTGGCCTTTTAACAATTATGTAAAAAGAAAAAACAGAAATACATTTTTGATATTAATAATTTATTAGTTTGCGATAAGTCAAGATTATGTTTTGTGTAGTCTTCTACTGGCTGTTATCAGGTATATTTGATTGTGTACAATAGGATTTTGAGAAAAGTTTTTACCATTAAATGATGCAAAAGGTGTCAGACGCAAAACATTTCAGAAACCGTATGTATCAAATATGATACATTTGGCATTACAGGGATAAGCAATTGGAATATTATTTGGAACAACCTGGTTTCTTGTCATTATTGCAGAATTAAATCAGTCCTCACAGAAATCTCAAAATCTGAACAGACACATAAAGATAGCACCTTTGAGGCCCAATTTATGCATTTTATTAGCAAAAAGCTATTTGGTATTTAGTCATGTATATAATTATTTAATTATTCAAAATATCCAATATAGGTTTTAGTCGCATATATAGTTGTTTAATGATTCAAAATATCCAATATAAAAGTAAAGTAAAAAATCACTTGCTTCCATTGGATTGGATTATAATATTAAAGGAACTATATAGCTAATGCAATGTGTGCATCATTGATATAAAGAATGCATCATGTAATATTGCCTCTAAAAAAAATCATGGTTTGATGAAAGGTTTTTTTTTTATGTGTATTTGTACATTTCTTGTTTAAATGTACAAATGCAGAGTGGCAATCTGACACTGAGTGCTCCAGATCATATGAGGTGTACACTGGAAAAACGATCTAGAAATAAATAAAAATGTCTTAAATCAAGTGTATTTACCGTTAATTTGAGTTGGTACATGAGATAGTTTGGGAATGGAGTTAGTATATTTAATCTTAAAATGAGATAATTAGATAATATGCACTTGAAATAAGGCAAAGCAATTGTGTTTTCTTATTTTAAGTGTAAATTGTCTTGTTGCATTGGCAAAATGTTGTGCTTTTACCTCATCAATCCAAAAACAAATGCATTTATTTTAAGGGGAAAAAAATGCTTTATCTAGATTTTTTTTTTCTAGTGTAAGAGGAACATGGTGTCTGAAGCTTTGAGTAATTTAGAGAAAGAAACAGATTGACAGATGAAACATTCAATAATGACAAAAACAACAAAAACATTGTGTTGCAAATGACCAAACATAATGTCTGATGTCAAATATATATCAACTGATTTTAACCATAAAAAAATGCAACTTCTTTTCACACTTTGAGGAATTCAGAAATCCTTGAAACATGTAGTTTAATTCTAGACGTGATGAAGCTGAGCTCAGAAAATGTAATTACCAACAGGAATATAACAGGAATCTATCCTCTCTACTGTGGGGGATGGCCCAAGAACTGCGACTGTGCAGAGTTTAAATACAGGGAGATTTGATTCAGTTTAAAGAGGGGCACATCATTCGTCCAATTACCGCCATCTTCAGGCGTGATAAGAAGCAGTTATTTAATCTCCACAAAGATGCACCGATTCGTGACTAAAAAAAAACAACGTTATAAAGTGACGTTCATAAACACAGAGTGAAACATCACAATGAAAGCCAATTTGGTGAATGCCTTTCTTGTGGCCACTGTAGGGAAGTGTTTACACATGATGCAGTGGCTGATGGTGACATCAACAACAGGGATGGCATAACCATCCATACTGTACAGCTGTCAATCACTTTGGTGCAATAGGAGCATTGTTATCAAAAACAAGGATGCATGAACACTAAAAATGAAACAAGAAGCAGCATATAGCCCTTTGCACACACAGAGTGAAGTGCTGCAGGGGGTATGTGTGTGTGCACATACACGCACGCGCGCACACATGTTTACCTCAGTGTCATAGATTTTGGTGATGAGTGAGAAACGGTAATTCCTGGACTCCCGTATGTGCTGGATGGCCAGCTGCACCGCTGGTTCGATCCCCTGGCTGATGCTGCTCATCAGGGCCGACTCGTTCATTGGCATCAGCACCATTATGGGCAAGTTTTCTCCGTCCCTGGTGAACCAGCTGTTGTCCTGTCCGTGTTTGGTGCGGTCGTTGCACACCTTTGCAACACCGGGGTGAAACAGCAAAGCGGATAGGAGCAGGCATCCCGCTGGGAGGAACATCTCCCAGCCGCTGCAGTCCCTCCGGGCTGGAGCCATGCGAATGGGTGACCAGAGCGAAATCCCACCGTGTACCTCACTGCCCGGGCATCGCAGTTTGGGGATGCTCAGATGCCCAAAAAAAAGAAAAAAAATGAATCTAAAGCAGAAGACGCTCAGCAGCCACCCTGCAGTATAGGGCAACTGAGACAGTAATTCTGCTTTTTCAACACCTCCGTTAAGAATATTCCAAGGGCTCAGAGTCGCGTTGAGAAGGGAGATTTATAGCCTCTCTGTGTCCATCATCTAAACGATTTCCTGAAATTTAACACAGCTCCTAATTTTGAAGCACTTATCACAAGATGTTCTGAACGATGCAGAGGGAAAAAAGAGCCAGCAGATGTACATAGAAATCAATTACTTCTGCCGACAGTTCTTCCCTTCAGAGTAAATTCCCGGTTAAGAGATGTTAAATGTGCATTGCTGCTAAACGCACTGTCAGAGTCAAATGATAGTGACATATTTAAGGTAAGAGGTTAACACGAAAAAGAAAAACAAAAACGCACGAACAAAGCTGAAGTTGAGAGGTTGATTGCAAAATTCCGGGGGAAAAAAGGGAGGTCGGGAGAGTCTGTCCTGACAGCCTGCGGGACTGGGATTTTCATCTCCGATAGTGCGTCAGAGAAGCGGTGCTGCCGCCGCTTAATGCTGCTGCTGCTGATGCTGATGCTCACAGTGCGCGCAAGAGGGAGCACTGAATGTGGAGGAGGAGGAGAGAGAAGGAGGGAGGGGGAAAAGGCTGCATAGGCTTTATGCGGGGCAGACTCAACTGCTTGACAGCCAAAGGGTGATTTACTGTGCTTTTATGTTACAGCAGATAGACGGTGGTTCAACAGCAGCACAGAGCAGGCTGGGTGAATATATAAGAAGCTTTATACATGTCATCAGCATCTGATGTAGTCACATAAAAGAGAACAGCTATATTTTTAGTTCATCATTAGAAATGCTGATCCTCGGGATGAGATTGTCCCCATCTATAGGCTGCTGGGATTTGATTGCTGTGCCGCTCTGTAACACCTGCTGACGATTTCTCACTTTTATAAACAATATCCAACCTGGCGGAGCACAAAAATGTTACTGTACTTCCAAATTCTTTACGACTTTATTTATATACCCAAGGAATATTAAGTGAAATAATAATGTATACTAAAGTTGTTAGAGGCTGAAAATCTAATAAAACAAAAAAATACACTTCAAATTAATCCTGATAATAAAAACAAATTTTTAAGACAAGTTAAAGTGATAATGTCGCATAGTCTAATTTATACTTATCATTCCAAACGTCTAAATCTTGGGTAAAACTCTACATTGTGTTTCAGAACCATAGACAGTGAAGACGCGTTTACTCTGTCCATGGTGCTGAATTTCTCGCACTAGTCATGCTGTTGCTCTGCTCAACGTGTTCCTAATTCATTTTAACTCTGCCCATAACATCCAATATTTTTTCTGAAGTTGCACAGAAATTTTTTTTTTGTATTTTGCTTATAAATATATATATATATATGTATGTGTGTATGTATGTATGTATGCATTTGTAAAGTGCATCTACTTTACAGTTAAAGTAAATGTCTTGTTTTTCTCGCTGCTTGTCATCCCCCACTCTCGCTACATCCCATTTCTGTCTTGTGACTCCCATATACAGTAAAAGCCACTAAAGTTAAAAAAAAGTAAAATTTGAGCTTATCTAACTGAATGTGTAAGCTTTAAACATCTCCAAAATACCTAATAATGAGATGATACACTTGTGTGTTTACATCACTTTTAAGAGTTAAGAACTCACAATATGATTTTCTAAGTTTATTTATATAACAGTTCAGAACAAGGACAACTAAAAGTGCTTTACATGAAAATAGAACAAAAATAAATAGAGAATAAAAGCAAACAAAGATTTAAAAAATTATAAAAGCAGACAGTAAAACAAATAAAACAGTTGGACCTTAAACTAAGACTACATCAGTTCAACAGCCAAAGGCAGCTCTAAACAAATGGTTTTTTAATTTTGACTTAAAAGAACTCAGGCTTTCAGCACTTTTCAATCTTCTGGGAGTTTATTCCAGATCAGTGGAGCATAGAAACTAAATGCTAATACTCCATGTTTGGATCTTGTTCTGGGTATACAGAGTAGGCTGGAACTAGAAGACCTGAGTGGTCTGGGAGGTTGATACACTGACAACAAATCTGTCATCTACTCAGATGCTGATGCGTTCATTGATTTTATTCATTGACTAACATAAGGATTTAAAAAGTCTGAGCTACATGGAGCCAGTGGAAGGACTTTAGAACTAGGCTGATGTGCTCTATATTCTTAGTTCTAGTGAGACCATTGGCGGCAGCAGCATTTTGGATCAGCAGTCTGAAGAACTTTATAGGCAAACCTATGAATACATTAGAATAGTTATCAATTCCGTAAAGATATATATGAACAAGAAATATTTTTCTAGATCCTGCTTAGATATTAGTCATTTAATCCTGGAAATGTTCTTCAGGTGATAAAAGGATGACTTAGTAACTGCTGTTGTTTGCCTCTGAAGGGTCGGAGCTGAGTCTATCATTACACCAAGATTTTGGCCATAATCAGTGGTTTCTTGCTGTAGTAACTGAAGCTGATGGCTAACTCTGGAGTTCTTTTCCTTTGGTCCGAAGACTATTATTTTAGTTTAGTTTTTCTTCAGTTGGAGAAAATCATAGCACATCCACACATTGATCTGTTCTAAACATCTGGCCAATGCCCTAATTGGTTCATAGTCACCTGGTGACATTGTGATGTAAAGCTGTGTGTCGTCTGCATTGTTATGGTAACTGATCTTGTTGTATGCTATTAACTGAGCAAAGGGGAGCAAGTACAGCTACATGTTGAAAAGGAGGGGCCTCAGAATGGAGCCTTGAGGAACACTGCATGTGATTTTTCTGGTCTCTAATTTAAAGGTCCCTACTGACATAAAAGTTCATATACTTCAGGTAGGATTTAAACCATTCCAGGGTGGTACCAGAAAGGCTGATCCAGTTTTCGAGATGCTACAATAAAATCAATTGATCAATAGTGTCAAACGCTGGATTGAGTTCCAACATTGCAGGCAATGTGAATCTTCCAGAGTCTGAATTTATATAATTGTCATTGAAAAGCTTAATCAGGACAGTCTCTGTACTGTGGTTGGCACGGAAACCTGACTGAAAGACATCAAAGCAGTTAGTCATTGTTAAGAAGGTATTTAGCTGTTAAAACATAACTTTTTCAACAATCTTTCTGATAAAGGGGAGGTTGAGATGGGTCTGTAGTTCTCCAGGAACAATTTTTCCAAGTTTCTCTTTTTCGACAATGGTTTGATAATAGCTCTTTTTAAGGCACGGGGGAAAACACCAGATATAAGGAATGCATTTATGATTTTAATCAGATCAGACACTGAAACAGCAAAAAGCTTCTGAATAAAACCTCTAGGTAAAACATCAAGAAAACAGGAAGAGGAACTTAGCTGCTGAACAGGTTCTTCCAAACTATTGCAGTTTAGTTTTGCAGATTTTGGACATTTTAACAGAAATTATTCTAACTGGAGACAGTATTGGTACTGGAGTTGGCATTGATTAGCAAACTGCTTTTCTAATACCTTATAATGTCTCACTTAGAAACCGCAGGCCTTTTTAGATTGAAGTTCATCAGCCACAGAGATAGATGCTTTTGTTAACCGGTCGTAACCACGTGGTCTAATCAGTGAGAGTTGAGGTTCAGACAGTATAAAGGGATCAGAGAAAAGGTTCAAGAACAATTTTTACTTCTATCATCTAGTCATTTTCAAGTCATACAGTATATTCATGGAATTACTAAATACTTAAAAAATATATTGTTTTGGAAAGATTTGCATTAAACTGGGGTTTGCAGTCAGTTGTGCTGTCCATGGTGCCAAACTATACATGATTCTCTATTGTTGTAGCGTAGCTCGGCTTAACTTGTTATTGCTTCTGCTAATATGTCCGCAATAGACTTAACCGAAGGTTCCCCAGGCCAGAGTTTATCTATCCATCCATCCATCCATCCATCCATCCATCCATCCATCCATCCATCCATCCATCCATCCATCCATCCATCCATCCATCCATCCATCCATCCATC